AGGGTCCATGATGGGAGTTTTGGCCTTCCGAGTTGTGATTCTATAGTTCTGGTAGTGAGGCTGGCTGAAAAGTGTTGTTGAAGTTTTCCTTTCGGCCTAAGTATAGGAAGTCAGGCTCATGGTTTATCTGGATGTACCTACGAGGAAAGAAAAAAGAATCGAGAGAAGTGAGAATTGTAAGCATTAAGTGTTATATTTCGAGACACAAGCTATACTCAATTACTGGCAATACTCCAAAGCACGGATCAGGCGCAAACAATTAGTCTGGTTCTAATATGCTGCGAGCATAGAATATCGATCAATTCTTTGCCTCACTACAGCCGCTACCAACGCCGGCGCCCCTGGACCACCAAGGTCCCCGTCACAAAGAGATTCACCCATGATCCTAAACTCCCAGAGGCTTTCCATGTCAAAGTTGACCAGGCTTGCCTGTACTACCACCGATTGGCTACTTCCCCTTGCCCGATGGCCCAGAACGAATTCCACCAGCCCTCCTGGTCATTCCAGACGCACGTGAGCTTGTATCCATGACTTTGAGGCAGAACTCCTTGAGTAGACTTCCAAACGACGTCTGCTTCAGCGTGGAGGTCTTCTTGACTTCTGCTCCAGGGCCCGAGTAGATTTTGTCGTGCTCGTCGATGTCTTCCTGCCACTCTGGATCATTTGGTACCTTAACCCAATCACTGCCGACTGGGTCCTTTCCACTGCCACCTCGATCCCGTGTGCTTGGTGACATCTTGTTGTTGGATCTTCGTCAATAGCGTATTTGTTTGCGAATTTCTTGGTTGGTGGAAGTAGACTGGGTGTTTTATGTGTTGGTGGATGCTGATCAGTTGTAGTAGCGGATGTAGTAGAACTTACATTGAGTCGTCTTCTTTCAATTGCATTCATTTGGAATTTGCGTCGGGCAATACTGAGCAAGGTGACGTGCAAAGGTGAGTCGTCACATTGTTAGGTCAAAACCTCAGGCAAATTGTCAGGTGAAATGTTGGGAATGATCTATTTTGGCAGCAAAATGATGCCTGCCCAGGTAAGAACGCTGGCTTGCTCTGGTTCATCTTTAGTCTAATTGTAGTTTTAGACCTGTGTGGAGTGTCTAAGTACATTAGATAAGTCTACTATGGCAGCCTGGTGCACTCAAGTGACTGTGCTACAATGACTTGGTGTGCCTAGAGTGGTGTTGGGCTCTCTCCCAGACCCACTTGGTTTTCCCCGGTTTCACAGGGCTGCAGTATGTGGGGCAAAAGCAGTTCACTATGTACCTAAGTACCTTGACACATGGAGTACAGTACCATCACTGTACTCCGTGCCGGCCCGGCTCCACCACAAGCAGAATTTGTTGCTCTCACTTCCGATATATTCCAGCCCTGATGACTCACAACAACTAAACCAGCTACATAGCTCAGGGGAAGAGCAAAAGTAGTGTCAAATAATGTCAAAAAACGGAGATGGATGTCGAATTTGAAGTGGGAGACTTGGTCTAGGAGAAGATGCTAAAGAAATGGGGTATAAATATTTGTGAATACCGATTAGGTCAACTCCCAACTCCAGACAACAATCAGGGTGAATGCATATATGGCTTCCAATCCGTTGGGATTCCCTCATGATTGATCCGTACAGGGCAACAGCCAGGGTCCGATCATTCTTATTCTGGATCGCGGGTATCTGGGAAAAGGTCGGGTGGTTACGGATAAAATCCACGACAGTGTACACTGCGCATAAGGCTCCCGCGCCCGAGTTGGAGAGGCAGGTTGGGTAGGATTACTCTAGCCTCCCGTCGGCGAGTTCAGACGCTGCCTATGCGCCTACCACATGTCTAGCTTGCAATGGTATGGGAAGATTACCCTCTACCTTTTGGAAGGGGATAAGATCATACAAGACCTGCCGGAACTGGTCCGACATAAAACCAAGAGAGATGTGGTAAACTACAAACTGGTAAACAGGGTTTTAAGATTCTGCAGAGGGCTGGGAATACATTCAACCTGTATAATTCAGGACGGGATATCTGTGGCCTTAAAGTGTACTTACAACCTACATAGCCACTTTGCGGTGGCCTCAACGATCTACAACTGACGCAGAGATATAGTGGCCAATGCAGTATATGGATGTAGAACTTGTTATTGTAGGCTGCCTACTATGTAAATCCTAGTATAAAGAACCCAATGTATATAGGACCGTTACCAGTTGTGTCCCCAGGACTGTGGAACCTAGTTGGCACCAACTACTTGGGCAAGATTAACCCAACTAGAATTAATAGATCTACTCATTTTCACATCTTGGCGATTACATACACCCAACCAACCACATTGGGAACTATTTCACTGTAAAACCCGTCACCAACATCTTGGTTTTTACGGAACAGGTCTACTCAGACAATGCCTCATACTTTTAAGGCGACCGAGTCAAAGGATTCTTCAAACAACATAGCACAAAGTCCATGTATAGACCAGTGTACAACCCGGCCTCGATGGGAAAAGCAGAGTTTGGGGTCAAAATGATCAAGCATGGCTTAAAACTCTAGGCTCGAGAGGTTTGTACAAACTGCTAGACCTCTGGCCGATGGCGGTATAGAGTATCGTGGCAAATGCAAACAGCAGACTGACTCGGAAGTCGAGGTACCGGCCTGCAATCGTTATGTTGGGATGGCCTGTGAGGAGGAGGAAGGTCCACATAAATAACCTAGAACCCTACCGGCCGCAACCGCCGGAGCTGGAAGAAGCTCTAGTTAAGGAGAATGTGGAGGAGGAACAACGTGCCCAGAGAATGGGATCGCGGGAAGACGATGTCTTGGACGAGGCCGAGCCGATGGACCTGCGCCCACACATCGTGAACCCCCTAAGAAGAATTTGAGGTAGGGAAGAAAGGGGCTACAAAACTGGTGAAAGTTGTTGCAGAAGAAGTGCTGTAGGGTCACAGAATATTAGTTTTGGGTGCGGGACAAGAGTGTAAGCAGATAAGTGGTAATAATTACCCGATTCAGACAGGAGCATCATCATATAACCACCACACCCTGTGTACAAAAAATTTGGGTGGAGAGTTTTCTTTTCAAATTCATACCCCAAGGAACCAGATTCTACCTTTTGAACCTTTGAAAGCAATTACAAGCCGCTAAATCGGTTTGGGAAGGGACGTGAAAGTTTGGGACGACTTTAAACCACTTTCAGATCGTTTGGACATCAGCCTCTTTTCTCAACCCACCACCCTCGATTCTCACATCAATCGACACCCATAACTCCTCAACTGTGACGAGAACCCTCTGCTACACTATTTTGACCGAATTAACCAACAGATCGACGACCGGACTCGAGGGAAGCGACCGGCGGCAAGTGGTGGGCCAGACCGGCGAGGTTGCGAGCCCTGATCTACGCCTGAGGGACGGGGATCTTGTGGAACACGAGGAGGATTGCAAGGTGTGTGACATCTGGGGCTCCTGGGGTGACAACAATTTGGAAGTTCCACCACCGATGGAGCAATTTGGTGACCGCATCAGAGATATGGGTGTCGCCCCGACATACTTCTCGGCAGAGAACCTGGAAGCTCTAGCTTGTATGGCTGCGGTAAACGCGGCCTGCTTGAAGCTGAAACTCCTTATAGCAGTTGAAGCGAGCAAACTGGGTCTAACCTACGAACAGGTCGGGGACTTGGAGGTAGAAATGGTGGAGGACCCAGAGCCCTATGATACCCGAGAGAAGATTATCAACACATTCAGAAAGAGTTGAAGACAGTCGGCAAAGAGGAAACCAGTGACGGACCCGCAGACCCAAGCAGTGGGACATCGGAGGCCACGATCGTCGAGCCAAATCTTACGGGATCGGACAAGTCATCTTCTGAGTGGGAGCCCCGATCACAGAGCTCCCAACGCATCCAGGCTGATCTGAAGAAACTCCTGGAAAGAAAGAAGCCTCAGTCACTGAGAGTGAGATGTCTTAAGGCCCAATTAAAGGGGAGACATGGGAGGGATGACTGTCCTGGACAGAACGACCCGAGGTGGACGGTGTCGACCTCCGAGACTGTCAGCCCCAGTCCGGAAGAGATGGAGCCCAACAACACTAATCAGAGGACTCCAAGCCCTGAGACTGTCGTCCCAAATCCGGAGGGGATGGGAGAACAGTCTGCGGAGAAGCAACACTCCTCCAAGAGTTGTGAGGCATGCAGGGCAATGAGGAACCCAGACTGGAAGATGCCTCTTCCCGACGGAGCTCTGGATTCGCTTCAAAACCATATGGGGAAAATCGGCTTGCCCATCGATTATCTTCCAGACTTAACCAAAGAAGACACTTTGCGACCCTACTAGACAACGGAGAGAGTAAAGACCAGCAGCCGAACCACTCCATTTGGATTCTGGTCCACGAAGAGGGCCTGGGCCATTTTGAGCCCATCCTGCCCCGAGAAATTTCAGTAACCCCCACTTGGGAAGGCAGCCGCCCAAGCCTATACCTACACATCCTTCCTCCGAAGAATTAGCTCGTCCTAGACAAGAGGCACATAGAATGACTGGAAATTGAGTATATCAGCTTCCATTAAGCGAGAGCAGACGTTTTCCACTGAGATCTGCAGCACGATTGGAACCTCTTGACTTCAATTTCATGGAGTGAGGCCCCTTTTCCACACAGCGTGGCGGGAACATAGGTATCATGGTGCAGCGAACTGCCGTGTGGAGCATCTTCACAGCCTAATTGGGGAATTTCTGGACCTGTGGAGACAGGCAGATAGAACTGTTGTCTTATGAAATAGTGCCTAATTACTCACAACACCATTTTCAGTGCTTTAGTGCCGAGACATCTTGCTATCACTAGAAGAAACCCACCAAGTTCTCAGGCTCTGCCTTAGCACATGTATATAACACTTTCTGCACACCTCGATAAATTTTGGCAGGACGAGAGCTTCTAAACAAGTCTATAGTTGATAATTCTGATTGAGATATAATCAGCAGCAAAAGTTACAATTAGCGACGGTGACTGTTTCTGCTGTATAATATTTTTCGAAATTGAAAGTCCAACAGCTACATAGCTCAGGGGAAGAGTGAGTTGACTCGTTCAATTGCAAAATTCTAACATACACTAACAATATAACAGGCGCCGGGCTCATAACCCGGAGGTCGCTGGATCGAAACCAGTTGTAGCTATTTGACTTCATTTTTGCTTTTTAGAGTTTTGTTCTCTCGCCATTTTTTCCCGCTGCCCATGGCTCCCACATGTCTACCTGGGTCGCACCTCAATCATGGTTAGTGAATTTCAAGATAGTATTCATGAGTTCTATTCCAGAGCATGATGTCCTGTGACTGTGTGGCGGACAGGTAAACATGTGTTACAACGTGCTATAGACAATCATCCAAGCAGGAGATTGTCACCATTCAAGACCACTGGAGTACAGAACAACAAATCTGACATAGCAAGGTCACTTGTTCTCCAGACGGAGGCCCTGGCCCCAAACCAACTTGTCTGCTGAGTGAGTCACTGATGAATCCTTTGGGGGATGTCCGGTGTGGTGTACACCCGCGGTGACTATCCTTCTTCGATCAGTTGCCTAAGCTGGCAGCCCAGGGTCTGTGTTGCAATCATGCAGCATTCCTTCATAGACCATTTGACAGTGACCCTGCCAACTGATATTGCTTAAGGGATGGGTTGTGTGAAAAAAAAAACAACATTTGTGTGTACCAAGATGCCTTGCTTACAGCTGCAGGGAGTGGAAGATGTAGTCAGGATTTCAGCCTCAGGGCAACAGACGTGACGCCGATTACCACAGTAGACAGGGGATCCCCTTGCACACAAAAGATCTGCAATCGACCTACCATCCTCAGCCTAGCCAAGCAATAAGTGTACCGAGCCTACTGACAAGGGAGCTCGAGTGCAAGTCTTTCATACTCTTATCGATACCAAAATTTCCAGTTCCTCCCAAAAACAACATCTCTCAACAGCAAGCAAAATGGCAAAACAAAAGGGCAAGGGTATGTAATTCGTCATGAAGGCCGAGGAAAAGCTCTCCCGAACACGCTGGAATAGTTTCATGTCTGACACTTTCCCCCAGCGCCGTCCATCCACTCCCGCGCAGCCCGCCGAGCCACATCGCCCAGCATAAACACAGACAAGTCCCTAAAGGATGCCAGGCCGCCGCCCGAGTCCGTCGACGCCCGCCCCTCCGTCCTCGGCCTGCACCAAAACGCGGGAGTCTCCAAGAAGTCCAAGCGCGGCCGCAAGGCGGTGATGAGCACCCGCGCCCGGAAGCGCCACGAGCGGGGGCTCGAGAGGGCGGAGGAGATCGTCGACAGGACCTCCAACAAGGTCCTCAAGAGCAAGAAGGCCGCCGCCAACGTCGCCAGCCGCAAGAAGGGCTGGGACGACATCAACACACAGGTCAGCGCCGAGGCTGTGGGCATCGGCGCGGCCTCGGCGAATAAGTTCGCGGGGCTGGCGGATGGTGCTGACGACGACGAGGATGTCGAGGAGGTGGACGACGAGATGTGGGAGGCGGAGCAGGGCACACCGGCGGTAGCCTCGACGGCGCCGAAATCCACGGCTGTCCCTGTGGATGCGCCGCCGCCGCCGCAGGACGACGACGATGAAGAGATCCTATAGGCATCCGCAGCATTTTGTTTTTGGGGTTTACGACCAGGCGTTGGGGGACTGATACCAGATGCAATGCAACATTGTTTTCTTTCTGCATGGAATATCTACTGCAGACTACTCATCCCATTGCATGAGGCTGTTCCTCCGAGTGAGTCAAAGCTGTGATGTCCTGCTATTTACTGAGTAAGGCTGGTTCCTTTCGTCCTAACTCACCAATCCTCGGGACGGCGCTCTTCACACCCGAGGAGGTCTTTGCTCACTCCGGGTTGAGACAGCGCCGAGTCCGTCTCGATGCCTATGCCCAAGTTCTGATCACTAGTACTGTAGTGGCACAACTCGTGAACTTTGAGGAATCCCATATTGAACAATTACCTAGCTAAATCCATTTCTAGGGCGGGTTTTCGGTGGTGACAAAGACCGCACAGGCAGAGAAAGTCTTCCGCCTTGCCCTCCTCTTCCTCCCAGGTATTCAACTAACAAGTCTTGCACCACCCCAGCGGCCTCTGCCTTCCATAGCGAACTCGTGTCCTCGTTATGACACTTATCGCGCCATCATGCCCCATGCTCGCCCGACCCCGCCAGCCCATCCATTCCGAGGCCATACTCGAGGCTGAACGCCGACGGAGACTAAGCAGTTCTGACCTTACGCTCGGCGGGGAGGAGGAGAACGGCGATCCACTCGATGCCGCAGGCCAAGTCGAGCCTGGCGACGAGATCGACGTCGCTGAGAATGCCGTCGGCAGGTCCGAAGGCAGTGGCAGCGGCGGCGCGTGTTGAATGCTACCAGCCGAGTAGTAGCCGCTGTCGTTGGAGTCCCTCGGTCGCATTATCCGGACCGAACCCTTCTGGCTCTGGATCCTCTCCAGCCCTGGCGCGGCAGGACGCACGTTGGCCACCTTGCATTCTATATCCCGGAGAACTGTCAAGTCAGCATCGTCTACTCGCCACGGTGGCCGCCTGAGGCAGTCGTCGGCTGACATCCGCCGCAGACGAGCGCCGGGCTTGAGATCCGGGAGGAGACGCGAAGCGAAGCCCCAGACATCTGGGCTGCCCAGGAGCGCAACCCGAGCTTGCACGTTATCTGGTCTGTTCGTAGGGGATCCTCGATGCTCAGCTTGGTCTCCCCACAGATGGGAATGAGCCGAGACGCTGCTGAGTCTGTTCTGGGGGCCGGGGAGGTACATCTCCCTCTCCATTTGCTCGGCTGCACTTATTCTGCTGTGATGCTGGCTGTTTCGTGCGCTGTGCTGTAACATCTCTCGCGGCGTAACATCTCTTGCAGCCGCGTGGTGCCGTCGTGGGGCCTCGTGTGGAGGTGGCTCTGCCGTCTCCGTTTGTGCGCTCGTTCTTACTGAGTGCAATATCCCACCGTCTCCGCCAGACGTGTGCCGAGAGTGTGGACTGCGTGTCAGTGATTCTTCACCAGCCAGTCCAGGCTGAGATTGCTGTTGCTGTTGCATATTCCCGGTCTGATGTCCTGGCACATCCAGAGGGTCTGGCCGAGCTGAGCTATGACGAAAGTAACTGTCCCGCGGTGTTCGATGTGGGTTCGATGGACGGTCCTGCTGGTGCACTCTATTGACTTCTTGGTTTCGGAGGCGTGGCCGATCTGAGCCATATCCCGCGACTTGGTTGATCCCAGGGGCATCATCATGGGCTGTTGGAGATCGGTTCGGGGCATTGCTGCTCATTCGATGATTCGGACGGGATCCACTCTGCCGTTGCTGCTCATCCCTACCAGGACCATGCTGCTCTGGTTGATCACGTCCGCGCTGCTGGGCCTGAGTATTGTCATTCTCGGCGGTTAAGAAGCCCGGCGGAATGTTCTTATTGAGCCGAGAACTCGGATCAGCATCATCTTTGTCGCCATTGGCCCTCTCCGTATCCATCTCATGTTTAATCCTAGTGCAGTACATCATGAGGTGGCACAAAAGAAAGATAAACACGAGCAGGCCCGCGAATACGGCAAACGTGACGACTATGCCGCGGGGTGGATGGCCCGAGGTGCTCAACAATGCCGTAGAGACGACGATCGTTAAGATGACGAACAGGAAAGGGATCCATTTGTACGTCACATCACGGATGACTTTGCGGGACCGTATGAGCTGGTCCATGTGGAACATGTCTGGAGGAACAGTTCAAGAGAGGCCTCGAACGAATATGGCTTGTTGAACATCGAGTTCCGATACCAAGTCTTTTGCTCGAGGCTGCCTTCCCTTCATGCATTTTATCTATCCATGGGAGGCCCGTCTACGGATCCTTTCTTTCATGTCGGTGTCAGACGGGGAGAGTCTGCCAAGTGGATATCAAAAAGGCTCTGGAGATCTAATTCGCGAGGGAAGTCTGAAACACCTTTTGTTGTGGTGACAGAACAAAAAGAACCCCGAGGTCAACAAGACTGCATGTCTGAGATCCCAGTCCATTGAACAATGATTAGATTATTATGGTTTGTGTCCTGAGACTTTGTTAGAAATACATAGGCCCTCTTTCATGCTGATCTGGCTGAGGCAGCCACCTCGCTTCTAGCTCATGTGCTATGGGTGGACTCATCGAATCCCGAGGATACGGCCTATGAGCTCTGTTGGGAGGCTGTACACCATCCCACTGATTATTCCAGTTACTGAACGACACCGGGGTCGCCGGGAGTTCAGCGGGCGCCGTTTTGTTAATGACTGAAGGCACCCAGCTTGGTATCAGCGATGTCCGCTTCTTTTTCGGGGCCGGGTAAGGAAATTCTTTTGGAGGTAGTGGCGGGGGCGTTTCCGAGAATCCCTGCGTGATAGACTGCCGTTTTTGTTTGGTTGTTTCCTTGATGCGTTTCCTTTTGATCCAGGCGAACACCAAGATTCCTGCGACAGCGGCCACGCCGCCAACCGCGGAGCCCGTTGCAATGCCTATGGTATTTGGCCTGTCCGGTGAGGACTTTTCCTTATCGGAGTCAGATACATAGGTCGGCATGATCATTGTGTAAGTTGACTCTGGCGTCGTTGAGGTAATGGTAGTCCCGACAGGATCCGTCATGGTCGGTCCTGATGTTGCGCTGGATGTTGCGGTTGATAGTATTCCTGTCGAGACAGGAGTCTCAGTCTGCGTCAAGACACAGATCGAGATTTCGTTGCAAGAATATCCGAAGGGACAGCAAGTGTTTGAGCCGGAACTATCACGCCCGCAGACCGGGAGCGATCCATCGAGATCTATCGAGTGAACGGAACTGGTCGGATAGGTTGTGGCATTTTGCACGGCCAGAGAGCAGGTGATGGGCTGGATCGAGGAGCATGTGCCACCATCAGGACAACACAGCACGGCCGTGTTCTGGGCGAGAGGGATACAAGATTCGGTGGCCCTGCAGCAGAACTCGCTTGGGAGATCATTGCCGCACTGGTCAAAGTTGGAGGGGCAAGAGCCTTCGCTCGCACGCTGTCGTTGTCTCAGGGCCTTGAGGACCTCGCGGCGGCGTATGCCAGGCTGAATATCCAGAGGGACGACATGTGGAACAGATATAGTCGTTTCTCTGCCAACCGATGCGGCTGTGAAGTGTGGGTGAATAAGACAAATGAGA